TAGTCGAGAAAAATTGGTTTGAAAAACAAGCGATTCAAACGCGATAACAGAATAATACAGAGGTTTGACAAAAATTGTTGGTTTGGCTGCGAATTGAGGCTAAAGTTTGTGTCACTAAAGTTAAACTTGTGCTCAAATTTAATTGATTGTTTCAATGGTTGCATTGAAGTTATAACGGAAAAACAGACCCTCTGGGGAACAGTCTGGTACAAATAATTAAATGTTTATTATTTACTTGTCATAGACTCGCGACTAATAATACAACTATCGTTCAATTCATTTCAAAGAAAACAATTTAGAAAATAATACCCAAAAGCTTCAAGAAGTAATTAATTGGACAAGATCTTGAATACTTTTTTGTATTAAAAAAATAAATAAGTTTATAAAATATATTTTATTACTTATGTTAGTATTTATTTGATAAAATAATGAGCTGTAGATCTCTACGAATGCCACAAATTCTTAAAGAATTTTTGGCAGAATTTACGGGTCTTTTCATTCTTTTGGTATATTTTGATGAAAAACAAATATTAATGATTGTATTATATATCGACTAAATCTGTCGGATACTCTGAAATATATTCAGTTTTTAGGTTTTTCTGGAACTTTCTTATTAGACATATTTCCCTCAAAAGCCATTAATATACACAACAGTTGTGTTGGGAATAAAACGTGTGAATGGAGTTGGGGAACGGCTGCCGGGGATGCCGTGTTTCAGCTGAAGATTACTAACATTGAGATTCTCATGATAGCCATCGCATACGGAAGCGGTTTAATTGCCGCCATCATGATTGTCGGACACATTTCAGGTCAGTTTATTAACATCACAATTTGATCTGTGCACAATTGTATATTCAATTCATTGTATTTATTAAGAACTGCCTTATCTACTAATAGGAGCTCATTTTAATCCGGCATATACTGTTACATTAGTCACAATGAAAAAGTTCCCGGCGTATGTCACCTTATATTTACCTGTATAGTGAATTTTGAATAAAACAAATGCCATATCCAATGATACCAGAGTAAAACTGCTGCATTATATCCCGGCTCAATATCTGAGTGCCTTTTGCTCGGCGGCTGCGGTTCACGCTTACCACTGGCCGCACATGTATACCGATGCGGGCGTGGATCAGACCAAACAGATATTGTATGAGTTGTTTGTGACGGCGCCCCACAATAAGATCAGCCTATTTACGGCCTGTTTTGACAGCTTTCTCTCGACCTTTATATTTGTTCTTATAATCCAAGCCATCAGTGATCGCACGGCTAATGCCATTCCCGACACTATTGAACCAATTTTTATAGTCACCTCTTTTATAGCAATTCTCATCTCATTTGGTCTCAACTGTTGCGCTGCTTTTAATCCGGGTTTGAGTTGTTTAGAAATTATAACATATACTAAATATATCCAACCCTTTACTTATTAATAAACATCTATTTGAAAGCTCGTGATTTTGGACCCAAATTATACGCCGCTCTATGGATTGGCTTCAAGCAAGCTTTTGGGTCAGTTTTTTGCTTATTTTCTTACAATTAGACATGTTTATCACACTATTACACTTTACAATCTGATCATATTTTTAGATATCAAAATTATATGTTCTTTTGGGTGTCTCAACAGTTTTGTCTTTATTTAGGCTTTATTGCTGGATAAGTATTAGCAATTAAAACATTTATCTAATCTGTAAATACCATATTTTACTGTACAGGGTGGACATACTTCTTGTTGTTTGAACAGATACCTCCTTAAATGCTAATTCACTTTTATTGCATTATACAATTTAAACATATTTATTACTTTTAGTTATAAAATAATTTTAAAATTTAGTTAATGTTTTATAATTTGTATAAATTCTTTATAATTGGATTTATTATTTAAGGTTTGTTAATTTCATCAATCTAACATTATATACTTTGGAAATGGAAAATTCTGCATTTATAATAATTATCTATTTCTATTAATATATTTAAATAAAGTTATTTTCCATTCTTTTAATATAAATAATATTCATTTTTCTCTATTTATAGTGTATTTTATTACTTTACTTATTTTATTTTGTAAATAAAGTAAAAGGTG